CTCATGTGTAAACTCTAAGTAATCAATTTCAGTTGTTTTTCAGTTTTATTATTCTGTTTCTGTGCATAATGCTTGTTATGACTCGATCACCCTTAACTTGAACTTGAGGTTTTTAAGAGATTGAGAAATGATTTTAAACCTTTGACTTGAAATAGAGTAGCTAATGGTGCTTATTGTTAGAGATAGAGTAAATGTCATTGGTCTTTCTTAAACTCTGGTTTTTAAAGCTAGTTTCTTGGTTAAACTATGCAAAAAATTGATAGTTTAAGTTAGCAACTTAGATGCCAACTTGTAAGAGATTAGGGTTGGTTACTTTTGAGAGTGATTAATAAATTCTTAATAAACTATTATGAGCTTAGTGATAAATATGAGAGGAAGGTTTAGTGAAGTCAAATCACAACATTTATTAATATTACTTTAAAATCAAGTTTTGCACCCTAAGTGTTTACAAAAATACCAAAAAGAATTCTTATAACAATAACATTGTTTGTTTACATTATTTATTGCAACAAATCAATTTCTTATTACTTTTGGTAACTTAGTTAGTATAACAAATGAATTTGTAAAGTGTTGCGCAAGTCCCTTGAGAGACAATACTTATACTTTCATTAAACTATTTATACGATTTGGTACACTTGCCAAGGGAGATATAACAAGTACCAATGGCCAGGGATGGATGTAGGTTGTCCATAGTGGGGGCACTTGCCCCCACTTCCATTTGCTACATGCATATTTTCTTTATTTAAAAAAATTAATTTAAAAAAAAATTATATTTTAATGAAATCAACATATATATTTAATTATCATATTTATAAAATATAAATTTGGAGGAGATATTCATTTATTAGATGTTTGTCAAATTTTTTTAAAGAGTTCTCTTATATGATAAAGAATATTCCTTAATAACAAATCAATTTTTAAAACAAGTTTAATCATACTATATTTTCTTAAAAAATCTAATTAATTAATATAAATATATATATATATATATATCTTAATACTCATATATATAATATAATATGTTAAAAAAAATTAATTTTTGATAAAATAAAATTTGCAGCATATATTTACCTTTTGTGTTTTCTATTTATTATATACGTTGATTAAAAAAAATCAAAAATAAGAAAGATCAAAAGATTTGTGTTGTACTTAGAATTTTTATTATAAAATATTTTAAAATAAATTATCATCTAAAAATACATATTAGATATTAAAAACATGTTTATATCATAAATAAATTAATTTTTACCAAATTTAACATATTTATTTTTATATTTTTTTTATCAGTGTTAAATTATTATAAATTAGGTTTTTATGATTGTAGTTCTAATCAAATTTATGGCAAATAAATAAGTCATATTTAGGATATATATTTTTTAAAAATTTATGTTCAAACTTACTAAATTATAATATAATCTAGTATGATCTAATTTATTTTTATCTTTAATTATAATCGTAGATATAAAAACTTGTAAAAAATAATTATGATATATATTTATACTTTTAAAAGTTTTATGTATAATTTTTAATACTAAAATATATTAATAAATATTGTCCCACTATCTAAAATTTCTGAATCCATCATTACTGTAAATTGTGTTTTTATTAGGTCATTTTTTTTTTCCTTTTGGAACGTATGATTTGGTAGATCAGTTTTAGTACTAATGATTGTTTCACATCAAATTTCTCGATATCGTGCATAACTTCATTTATTTTGACAAATTTGTAAGTTTAACAAGTTTTCTTTTATTAATATGTTAAGGAATTGGTTAGTCACTCATCAAGTAGTTATTATATTTATGATAAATAATACATATTTAAAATTTTATAAAATAAGATTCTATATTTTATCTAATAATACATCATGTGTCTAAACGTGTGCATTTTATGTTTCGTCTTATTTGTATTTTATAAAAATATTTTCCTTTTAGAAAAACGCTATGTTTATTAATATTAAAACTTAAAAATTTAAGAAATTTAAAATTGTCTTTTAACCTAACAATTTTTAAATTAAAAAAAATAAATTGTAAACTTGATTTATAAATTAAAAATTTTTAATTTAATGGTTAGATTATTAAAATTTAATATAGAACATGAGTTTTTGAATAACTTATGTTCTACATTAAATTTTAATAATCCAATTATTGAATTAAAAGTTCTTAATACATAAATCAAATTTACAATTTTTCTTTAAAAAATCGAAAACTATTTGATAGTTTGTTTTATTAATTCAAATTGACGAATAACTAATTTACGTTGATTATACGTCAATTTAAAAAGTATTTTATATATTAATTTGAATTTATATAACAAAGTATTATATAATTTTCAAATTTTTAAAAATTTGTAAACTTAATTTATATATTAAAATTTTTTAATTAATAATTAAATCATTAAAATTTAATATAGAATATGAGTTATTGAATATAATATGTCTCTATCTATATATAACTTTTTTGCCAAGACTTATAAGATCCCACTTTGTATTGGAGATGCTCATTATTATTATTAAGAAAATATTATATAACTTTTTTACCAAGACTTATAAGATCCCACTTTGTATTGGAGATGCTCATTATTATTATTAAGAAAATATTGAGAGAATTGAGAGATTATATATATAAAAAAATAAAAAAAAATCAAAGATGATTTTTATTTATTAACAATAAGAAAAATATAGAATAAGAGAAATTAAAGAACATAAGTTAATAATATATTATATTATATATCACACTTTCTTCTTTAAATTTAATATTATTAATTTATTTTTCTAAATTACAGGTAGATTTTTGTTGAGAAATAGAAACATCATATTAATTAATTAATTATTGTTAAATATTTTTTATAACATTTTTTTACATAATTTAATTATGTAAATTTTATTTTTATATTTATATAAATTAAAAAAAAAATAGTACCATCTGACAAAGAGATCTTGAATAATTACTCACATTGATTGTGCTCAGGGTTTCTGTTCCAAAGGAACAATATAAAATTATAGTCATAGACTTCATTGCTACTTGCTAGATAAAATAATTAAATTGAAGGCAAAAATTAAAAGAACGTATAGTACATGAGTGTGAACTGGACTTATTAATTTAGTATTGGGATAGGAATACAAGTTTCTAGATGCATGATTGGGTAATTAATAGACGGAAAAATAAACAAATGCTACATATTATAATAACAAATAATATTTGCAGTACACATCCATCATACCAAAAATAATCACACATCGATCAAATGAAATTGTGCGATAACTCACATGTGCATGTGATTTTCAAAACTTTGGGAGAGACTTGTCAAAGGAATTGACTTCAAGAGTCAGTAGCATTACTCTAAAGTTTGGACTTTGGAGTACCACATTTTTCGGACATGGATCTATACAAAGAAAAATTCAAAGAACCTAAACTTAAAAATAATATTACGGAGAAAGATACTAGAAAGTATAAACAAGAGCCATGGCACGAGCAGTTTTTTTTTTTTTTTTGGTATTTTTTTATCCATAACGTACAGGTATTTTGTGTATGAAGAATAATGGCCTTTTGGCCATAATAAATAAAAAAAATTAAAAAAATTACTAAAATAACATATTTAAAAAATATTTTATCAAAATAAATTATTTTGGATACGTAAGATTCAGAAAGTGAAGAAATCATTACATTATATGACGTGTTCAGTATATGGATACAAACAACTTGAAAGGGTCAAACCACTTGCCGTTTTGTGCATAAATTTTTAAAACTAAAATCGTCATTTTGGTTAACGTTTTCTTCATGGTTTTGCACTATAGCTAGTAGATAAAAAGGACAATACGTAGGTGAAAAACACTTGTAAAAAGTAATATATTCTTTATAATAGCCCATCATGAGATCCATTCTTTATCCCAATCACATCAATTCCGTTCTCTTTGCCTAACTCACTTGTTTCTCGACGTCTCATTCCCTAGACCAAACCACCCACAAGCCATGGCCACTACTCCCAATAATAGACTCTCTCTTGCCATGGAGAGAATTGGGCAATGATAAACAACACACTCAACTAATTTCATTTTCAAATCTATGCGCCATGCATGCATGCACATGCTTAGTATACTCTCCAATCAATCTCTATAATAACCAATTTCTTGCATTTGTTTTTTGCAGGGTTATCTTCTCAAGACATACCAACTGATGTTATAGTTGAAGTTGGATAAGTGACTTTCTCTCTCCAGAAGGTGAGTATTATGAATCAAGTGGCATGTTATTATTATTTGTTACTCCTACCTAATATGTGGTTACTTTTTGCAAGTGATTTTCACCTGTGCATTGTACTTTTTTTATCTGCTAGTCATAGTGTAAAATCATGAAGAAAACGTCAACTAGGATGATTTTAGTTTTGAAAATTTATACACAAAACGTTAAAGAGTCTGACGTTTTCAAAAGTTGTTTGTATCCATCCATTGAAATGACATATAGTGTGACGTTTTCTTCACTTTCTATGATCCTACATGTACAAAATAATTTATTTTGGTAAAATATTTTTTAATTAATTTATTTTAATAATTTTTTATTTTTTTATTTATTATGATTACAAAAAATTAATTAATTAGTAATGATTGTTTAGTGTGACGTTTTCTTCACTTTCTATGATCCTACATGTACAAAATAATTTATTTTGGTAAAATATTTTTTAATTAATTTATTTTAATAATTTTTTATTTTTTATTTATTATGATTACAAAAAATTAATTAATTAGTAATGATTGTTTTTGCGATTTTAATAAATCACTAAAAAAATGTTGTAATTCTAGGAGTTAATTTAACCCCTAAAAAATAATTAAATTTTTAGCGGTTTAAAACTGCCATAATAATTAAATATCTGTTTATCTTTTGTGTCATCACGTGGATAACTTAATTAAAATATATTTTTATTTTTATTACAAAAATTTTAAAAAATAAAATAAAAGAATTAAAAAAACTTAAATTCAAAACAAAAAAATCATAACTAGGGCAGTTCTATGAAAACTTCACGGCTTCTTCTGTGAAAGCTCAGATTCTATGATAGCTTCACTTCACGTTCAACATAATCCTTCGTGAGCTAATTTGTGATGAAACCATTTTGCAAAGTTTCCAATTTGGGATTAGTGATTTCTCAATAACTTCTTTAAGCTTTCTGTTCACTACTCTATCCTTCGGTCGATTGCTTTTATTTAAGGTGAGTTTCCCATTCATATTCATTTTGATTCCCTATTTTTGCTCCGTCTAATATTTCATTATGATTTTTTTGTTTAGAGGTTTTTGGTGGAACAATTTTTTCAGAGATTACGAATTTTAGGTAAGAGAATACGAATGTTCCTTAATTGTTTTTTTAACGTTTTGATTTGAAATTACAGTGTTATTTGCCTATTCAAATTACGAGTGTTATTTGTTTTTGATGTTCTGATTTGAAATTGGCTTGTTCATGATGTTTTTATGATCAGTAATATGTTTATGTTGATACGTATGTGCATATTATGCAGATATATATTGTTGATAGTCTGGACAGCGAAAGGATAGGGAAAGGAAAGCAGGAATTTAAGGTGATAAAATCTAAATGTGCATACATACACCATAATTTTGCAAATAGATTTTGAATAGATGTATGGATTACTTGTTGACAATCATAAATGATCCATTTATGATTCATAGTGTCATCTTGGTGTTTGCCAACAAACAGGACCTGGTATGTCTTTTTTTGTAACTTTTTGATCTCTGATTTTTTGGCTAAATGACCTGACATTTATGGTTATCTTCATAAGTGTGGCTGAACAAAAAAAAAGTGTGATTGAACAAAAATCTTTTTCTATTTTCTGGGTAACATTTTCTGGCTTAGCAATATTAGCAGGCTTGTCATAAGTAAAAGGCCCGATCTTGTTGATTTGGGAATTTTGTTGTCTTTGTGAAGAGTTGTTGTTGTTTCTTCTGATTTCCTATGTGGTCAGTGAAATCTTGAATGTGCCTTAGTATGTCGTTGAGGGTTTTCAAGATTTTTAAAAAATTCCAGTTAGAATAATAGTTTTTCTTAATAAAATCACTAATTAGTTGATATTTTTCTTTCTTTTCTTTGATCATGATTTGATTCGAAGGGAGGGAGAGGAAGGAAAGATTTTAAGGAAGGGGAGGATAATGATTTTAAAAAAGAGGAGACATATCATGTTTGATTCATAAGAATAATCTGATTAATAAATTTACTGCTAGATATATAGAATAGGAAAATGATATTAATTAAGAATAATTTATCTAATTAATGTAAAAGTTCCTCTCTCCTATGGAATTATTAAAATTTGGATGAGTCAAAATTGAGTGAGGACAGAATTAATCTTGTACCCCCTTTCAAAATCTATAAATAAATAAGAGTTCTTTTGAACATATAAACCTTAATCCCCTGCACATCTATTTATTTAGTCAAATTTTTGTAGTTTACCAAATCCCCTGCACATAATTGTTGCTTCAAAGCACAAATATTAAGAGTTAATCTCTTGCACATGTGTTTGCTTAAACAAATTTGTGTAGTTTATCAAGTGATATTGGATACTTACAAGCGCAATTGACATCCTCTTGCAGATTATATTGCTTCAAATATGTAAGAGGTTATAAAATCATATCAGCATTTCTACTTCCTTTTCTGCTGATTTTATTGCTTTAGGATATGTAAGAGATAATAAAAACATATTCAACATTTCTACTTCTTTTTGTTAGGTCCAGAGTAGACTTAATAGTTACTCACAGCTAAAACAAGAGATGAGTAAAAAAAAAAAAGACAAGGGAGAAAATAACCACAGTAAAAATATTATTTACTGAAAGGGAGGAAATTACAACACTTCTCTCTCTATAACTTACTCCTTTCTATTAGGAGACTACTACTACCGAGAACAGATCTCAAGGTGTATAAGAGAGGAAGAGAGAAGAGAAGAAGATTTGGGATGAAAATTATGGTTTTCAGCTTCCCTATTTATAGGAAAGTCCCAATGGCATTTTCGTAATTTCTCCTAAACTTTTAATATTATTTTATTAT